GGATTGACTTTAAATACGAAAACTTCCTCACCTTTTGCTTTTACTGCGGAAGGATTGGGCACAGTGATAAAGCCTATGAAGTGAAAGACGTGGATATCCAGAGGAACATGGTTAAATCAGGTCAATATGGGGAATGGCTTAGAGGGTCATTTGGAGGTCTGAGCGAGGGTAGAGATAAGAATGTCCCAAGCCCAAAGAGTCAAAAATTTAGCTCTGAGTCCAGTAGAGACAAAACATCAGGAGAGGGAGGGGTAGAGCCTAATGTTCTAGTTAATTCCAAAGAGTCTGGGGAAGCCAAAACAGAGTTAAAGAAAACTTGGTTGAGGGAGGAGTAGAGTCTATCAGAGGGGGGATCTCAATCACAGAGCCAGTGTCTCAAGGGATTGGGGAGGGTAGTAAGGAGGTGGTTGGGCTTAAGGTTTCTCCTATAGAGTGTATGGAGCTGGATGCTACTAGTACCCCTAATATGGAGTCATCAGAACTAGTTAAGGTGGCTGTTAAGATAGATAATAAGAAACTTTTGTCTTCTAGTACTAAAAAATATGTTACTAGGATTACTAGAAGTATATTGTCTGATGCTAAGAATAAAGGGAAGAGTGTTGATCCAAAAACCCAACACTCTGAATTTGGTTTTCAAATGCTATAAAAAAACTAAAAATGGGAAAGGTCTTGCTCATAATCAGGTGGAGAAAACCAGCCATAAATGGTCCCAAGTTTCCAAATGAGGGTGCTGGTGTGGAATTGTAGAGGTCTGGGAGGACCCTCTACAATTCCCCAGTTGAAGGCCAGTATGAGGGCCTACCTCCCTGTTTTTACTTTCCTATGTGAAATAAAAAAGAAAAAATCTTTTGTTGAAACTGTTTGTAAGAATATTACTGTAGGGTCTAGGTGGAGTTATGTCAGTCCTGTAGGTACTAAAGGGGGTATGTTGTTATGCTGGTCTGATAATGTGGTTATTTATGAACTTATATCTAACTCTTTTAGTTTTGAGGTGTGTTTTAGTATAAATGGTAATGATGATAAATTATGGGTTATTTTTGTTTATGCTAGTGTCATTCAGGGGGAAAGGCAGCTTCAGTGGGAACACTTATGTAGGAGTCAGCCTAGATGGGGTAGAGTCTGGTTCATATGGGGGGATTTCAATGATATTTTGCCCAATGTTGAGAAAAGGACTGGGAATCATAGAGGGGGGGCTAGTTTTCAAAGTTTTAGTCATTTTGTCCAAAACTTGGGGCTAGTTGATTGTCCTATCAATGGTCACCCATTTACCTGGTCAAACCTGAGAAAGGGTAGTGATTTTGTAGAAAAAAAAAATTGATAGGTTTTTTGTTTCCCCAGAGTGGTGCCTTAATTTTCCAAATACCTGTGTGACTCATGTTTATCTGGTTTCATCGGACCACTGTCTATTAGTTTTGGATTCTGAAAGGGAGGAGAAGATAGAGCACATAATATTCTTTTTTGACAGCTGGTGGATTAAAGCTCCTGGGTTTAAAGAGAGTGTAAAACAGGCTTGGGATCAAAATGTTATAGGCCCAGGTCTATACAGATTCCAGAAGAAGCTTAGAATGGTGAAAAACAAACTGCAAAGATGGAAAAACAGTCAAGCTCAAACTCATCATTTATGATCAAGGTATGCAATGAGAGGTTGGAGGATTTAGGGAAACTGGGGGGCTTCAGAGACTGGGAGGAGTGGGAGATATGCAAAGTTGAACTGTACCAGGCATATAAGGATGAAGAGGTGTATTGGAGGCAGAAGGCAAGGGTGCAGTGGTTGAGAGAAGGTGACAAAAACTCCAGGTATTTGCAGGCTTGTGTGAGACAAAGAAGAGTGAGAAATAGCCTAAGAAATTTGGAAAAAAGAAATGGGGGAAGATGTGAGAACAACAAAGAAGTGTTAAGTGAAATTGTGTCATACTTTGGGGAGTTGTTCAAATCTGCAGAAATCAGGGGAAGTGATGAGATTCTAAGGCGTATGCCTAAAACTATCACAAGTGCAATGAATCAGAACCTTACTAGGATGGTGGATGAAGGGGAAATCAAGAAGGCTCTGTGGACATGGATCCTCAAAACGCTCCAGGTATCGATGGTTTTACTCTACTTTTTTTCCAACATTCATGGGACATTATTAAAAATGATGTTTGCCTTGCTGTTAGTATTTTTTTTTCAATATGGCTGCATTCCTCATGCCACAAACCACACTGTGATCACCTTGATCCCTAAAACTAAGAACCCTAGAAATGTTACTAAATACAGGCCAATTAGTTTGCGTACAATCACATATAGGTTAATTGCTAAAGTGTTGGTTAATAGACTCAAATAAGTGCTTCATGTTTGCATTTCCCATTCTCAATCAGCTTTTGTCCCGGATAGGCAAATCTTAGATAATGTAATAATAGCTAATGAATGTATTCATTTTTTGAATAGCAAAAGAAAAGGGAAAAAAGTACTTAGCTCTTAAATTAGATATGGAGAAAGCTTATGATAGGGTTGAGTGGGGCTTTTTGATTAAGGTCTGTAGGCAAATGGGATTTTGTGATGTATTTTTTTTTCATGGATTTGGTCCTGTATGTCTTCATCCTCTTTTTCTTTCAACCTAAATAGCCAAACCCAGGGTCATGTAGTACCTACTAGGGGTTTAAGACAGGGGGGCCCCCTCTCACCTTATATGTTTATTATTTTGACAGAAGTATTTTCTAATCTCATTAGACAAGCTAGTATTCATAATTCCTTCCAATGGTTAAAAATCAGCAAATTTTCCCCTTCTGTTTCTCATCTATTTTTTGCTGATGACTCCTTGATTTTTTGTCAGGCTGATAAGCATAATGCCATTTTGTTATTGAACATTATTAATGCCTACTGCAGTTCCTCTGGTCAGGCTGTGAATCGCCATAAATCCAGCATCTTCTTTTCCGTCAATACTTCAGAGGCTGAGAAGAGGGAGATCTGTAGTCTGTTCCATGGTATTCATGTGGCAAAAAAATCTAAATATTTAGGTCTTCCATTAGGTATAGGTAGAAATAAAAAGATACTTATAATTTTTTAAAAGAGTGTGTGATATCCAAAATTTCAAATTAGAAAAATCAATTTTTGAGTGAGGCAAGGGAAGAAATATTGATAAAAACTGTTCTAAATGCTTTTCCAATATATGTTATGTCTGTTTTCAGACTTACTGTGGGGATTTGTGTTGACATTTGTGCAGAAATTGCTAGGTTTTGGTGGGGGAAAAAGGAAAGGGGAGGGGAGAGAATTCATTGGGAAAAATAGGAGAAATTGGCTAGAGAGAAGGGGGCTGGGGGTTTGGGTTTTAGGGATTTTACAGCTCTTAATGAGGCTCTTATTCTCAAGCAATTGTGGAGATTGCTTACAAAGCCCAATATTTTAATGAGTAGGGTGGTGAGAGGAAAGTACTTTCATAATCAAAATATCTTTGATGTAAAAAAAAGGATTGGGGATTCTTGGATGTGGAAAAGTTGGTTAGAGGCTAGAGATTGTTTGAGGCTAGGATTGAGGTACCAAGTGGGTAATGGTTTGCCTATTAATATATAGAAATCCCCTTGGATTCCTGATGTTGCAAATTTCAAGCCTAACCTATGTTTTGAAGGGGACAAGCAGAGGGTAATCAGAGTTGCAGACCCCATGGTAGAAGATGAGAAAGCCTGGGACACACAACTTATTCTACAAACTTTTGAACCAGAGGTGGCATAGAGTATACTGAAAATTCACATCAGTCAAAGAACATCCAGAGACAGGTTAGTATGGCATCTAGACAAGAAAGGTGTATTCACACTCAAAGGTACCTACAAGATCATCCTTCAACAGAAACAAAGACTGATGGGAGACATTGGGGTTAGCTCGGGGAGTGATCAAATGCAGCAAATGTGGAAGAGGTTATGGAAACTTCCAATTAAACAAAAGGTAAAAAATTTCTTGTGGAGGTGCTGACATGGATGGGTGGGCACTCAAGACAAACTGAAGAGCAAAGGTGTTGACATCATTTTCAGTAAACCGAATTAAGCGATGCTGATTAGATGATTATGTTCAATAGAAGGATGATTGAAGTCGTACAAGTAGATGATGTCTTCACGGATCTCAAGACAATCACATATCGGGTAAAAATTCATCAAGAACCAACATCGTCATCAATTGACCGATATCTCATGTCGGTTATGACATGTCGGTTACTACATGTCGGGTATGACATATCGGTTATAACTACACGAGCCGATATATATGACTTGCTAGACCGACACCACGAGGCGGTGCCAACTCAGCACAACTCATCGTTACACCTAGCCAAGTGGCATGTTACCAGGATGAATGGCAATTAGCCGCCGTTGACTATTCTCGTGTAATGATTACATATTAGATAAATGTTGTAAATAAATAAAAAAGGAGAAAAAGTTCTCCAGCCAGAGGGGACACAGACAATAATATTCAGAAAGTTTTATTTTCATTCAGCTTTTGTTACGGCTTGTCATACAGTCTTCACTAATCTATCTTGAATTTACAATAAAATCCCTGTTGATTATATAGTTGTTAATTCCCGTTTAACAACAGTTTGGCGCTAGAAGGAGGGCCTCATCACGTTTTGAGGTTAACTTTCGCTGTTAAAGCCATTTCCGCACTCGAAGCCACCATGTCGCAATCTGGTCGAGACCATACAGCTCATCCTGGCCAGAGTCAATCGACTAACCATTCCCCACGGCGTTCAACACCACCTCCTCCGGTCACGAATATCACAAAATTTCTTCAAAACCCGGAGTTTATTCAAGGTTTAACCTCTTTGATAGCTCGAGCCATGCCCAGAAACTCGAGTACGGTACCATTATCAACGCCGTTAACTACCAATCCAACAGAACATCCAAATCATACTCGTCATGACCCTGAAACACATGCAGCGACATCCCATGCTACGTCGAGAAGAGTTAACTCGTATAAATGTTAACCCCACCATACTTCTCCACGTCGAGAAGAGTTAACTCATATAAATGTTAACCCAGTAACGAACAATCAAGTCCCGGAGGAACCCCCTGTACAGGAAATGACTGCTGAAAGCCACTCTGCTCATCATCAGCGAATTCCGTCACGTACTAGACTTACTTCACCAGTGCCTCATGGTCATGAAGATTTGCGGCGCCAGATTGAACGGAATCGTATTTCAAGACACAGTGCAGAGGAAATTGAAACTCTTCGTAAACGCTTGGCCGAACTCGAGACTCGACAGAAGTCACAGGAAGATTCTCCCCGACATGTCTCGACGTCGGGAAATGTCATTATTGAAGCTGATTCACCTTTAGCTCCGGAACTTACCGCGGAGGCACTCCTGCTAAGGTAAAAATCCCACAAATTGGCATGTATGATGGAACATCGGACCCAGATGCGCACTTGGGTCATTATACATCTTGGATGGATTTGCATGGAGCCTCAAATGCTTTGAGATGTCGGATGTTTTCGCTTACACTAGGGCCACGAGCACAAAAATGGTACTATACCCTTCCACCTCATTCAATTTGGAAGTGGCAACAGTTACGTGCGGCTTTCCGATCACACTTCATTGGAGCTCAGATTTGTCTTATCCCAAAAGAATCGATTACTAACATCGTGCAAAAGGACGACGAGACTGTTAAAGACTACGTGTCTCGGTTCAACGATCGAATTCAAAATATGGAGCCCTGTCACCCTGAGACCTTGTTAGTAACCGCAATCGCTGGACTGAAGCCCAACTCGATGTTTCGCTGGACTTTGTGCCAAAACAAACCGGCCACGTTCCAAGAATTTCTTGTACGAGCTCAACAATTCATTATTGCCGAGGAATCGATGTCGGTTCCCAGTTTCGACTTCTCGGCGAAAGAAAACAAGACTGAACCGGACGCCAAAAAGAAGAATAAGAAGAACTTTGGGAAAGCACAATTTCAGAATTTCTCCAAAGGATATGAAAACACTCCAGAGTCTAGGGCCGTTCGTGATCAATATTCAGACAACGTCAGGTCAGGCTATCAGGCCGTTTATTCAGCCGGAGCAGCTACTATATATGAAGAACTGAAAGGAAAAGGGTTTATTCCAGACCCGAGGCCTGTGAGAACCCCTGAAGACAAGCTGGACAAAACTCGGTACTGTGCATACCACAAGTCTCCGGGACATAATACCGATGAGTGTCTCGGTCTTTTGTCAGCTCTCTTATGATTAATTGGACAACCTCAGCTCCAAAAGTTCTGAAATTTTGACAATCGCCGGAAAGGAAGACCCTTAGATCTTTCAGATGATGAAGATGATGATAATCGACCTGTTAACCCGAAAAGAGCCCGTGCAAACGATAAGAAGGTTTTCACGTTTTCTATTCTTGTCGGAACTTCAACTGATAATTGCAGAAAATCCAGGAAACATGATACCTTAGACCTTCACACTGCATACCTCGAGTCAATTCCAATAACAAACAGTTGGATACTTGTCGACGAAAAGCCAAAGCTTATGCCCGGGAGGCACAAAATGCCGAGAAACGAGTCATGAACGTTGTTCTTCGAGATACCATCAACAATCGGAATTGCCCTATCACATTCAGTATCGAAGATGCCAACTTATTTGCTCATCCTCATTCCGACGCCCTTATTATAACAGCCCCGATTGGAGGGATCCCTGTTCACCGAATTTTGGTCGACACAGGAGCTTATTCAAGTATTTTAATGCTCCGCACTTTCAAGAAATTGGGTTTGGACCCAGCAGACATTAGGCCTTACAACGACCAAATTCAAGGTTTCAATGGAAGCATCTCTTGCCCTGTCGGTGAAATATTGCTCCCTATTCAATTTGGCGGCTTTGGACCAAAATCCAAGATTATTATGGAAACTTTCAAAGTCTTGGATGTCCAGAATGAATATAATGCCGTTATAGGGCGAACTGCACTTTACAAGCTCCGTGCTGCCGTGTCAATTTTTCATTATGCCCTGAAGTTCCCCACCATTGAAGGAGAAGGCACTCATTATGGAGATCAACGAGAAGCCCAGAGTCTGACGTTGCTCTCAACCTTACGTAACATTCATATGATTGAAGAGCAGGATACTGATAACTCTACTGGGTTGAACAACCCAACTCTTAATGCTAAAAGAACTGATCAATTCGCCCCAGATACCGACATCCCTCTTGCAGTGACCGATGTCCCTATGACGTCGGATCTGCCTGAAACACTAAAGGAAGCCCTCGACCAAGAACAACCTTTTCATGAGAAAGACATAGGAATACCCGAAGATATGGATCCACGGATACAGTTCAAAGATGGGAATCATCATGTCCGAGCGGAACCAGTTGAAGACGTCGAAACTATTTACGTGGATGGATTGACTCAGGAAAAATCATTGCGTATTGGAGCTAACCTTCAAGAACCTACACGGTCGAGCTTAATTCAATTTCTTCAGTCAAATTCCGACGTATTCGCTTGGAAGCATGAAGACATGAAAGGAATTGACCCGCAGAAAGCGTGTCATCGTTTGAATTTGGACAAGACTGTTAAGCCCGTCATACAGAAACGCCAGAAATTCGGCCCAGATCGCCAGAAGGCCCTTGAAGAGGAAGTAAACAAGCTCATAGACAATAAGTTCGTCAAAGAAGCCAAATACCCGACGTGGATATCAAATCCTGTCTTGGTTAAGAAAGCCACCGGCCTTTGGCGCTTGTGTATTGATTTCTCAGATTTGAATCAAGCATGCCCGAAAGATAGCTATCCCATTCCACACATTGATTACATGGTAGATGCTACATCGGGACATCAACTCATTAGTTTTTTGGACGCCTATTCTGGTTACAATCAAATTCCCATGCACCCTGATGATGCTGAACATACGTCATTCTACTCAGCCCGAGGTCTTTATTGTTATTTCATGATGACTTTCGGATTGAAGAATGCTGGGGCCACATACCAAAGGTTGGTCAATAAGATGTTTGCTCGATTGATCGGTCATACAATGGAAGTTTATGTGGACGACATGCTAGTGAAATCGGAACAGGACTCTGATCACATCACTCATCTTTCAGAAGTCTTTGACATTCTCCGAGAATATTCCATGGTCCTTAATCCTAAGAAGTGCACTTTTGGAGTCGGATCAGGGAAATTTTTAGGGTATATGGTGAGTCAGAGAGGGATCGAAGCCAATCCTGTCAAGATCCAAGCCATACTTGAATTGACTCCCCCGACATCTATTAAAGGTCTCCAAGCTTTAACTGGTCGACTGGCGGCTCTAAACCGATTCATTTCCAAGTCGACGGATCATTGTAAACCGTTCTTTGATGCTATCAGAAAGAAGAAGCCGTTTGAATGGACCGTGGAATGTCAGAATGCTTTTGACAACATCAAAGAAGTTCTTTCACGGTTACCGACGTTGCAGAAACCTCTTCCCAATGAACCTTTGTATTTGTACCTGGGAGTAAGTGACGTTGCTGTTAGTGCCGTTCTTATACGACAAGATGGACTTCAACAGTTCCCGATATATTACGTTAGCAAAGCCTTACATGACGCTGAATTACGATATCCATATATGGAGAAGTTAGCCTTTGCTCTGATCATCGTTGCACGGAAGCTGCGTCCATATTTTCTGGAACATTCTATTATCGTGTTTACATCATACCCTCTCTGACAAGTCCTTCACCGACCTGACACGTCGGGAAGAATGATTAAGTGGGCGATAGAACTGGGACAGTTTGATATTCAGTACCGACCACGAACCGCTATCAAAGCTCAAGTGTTATCTGACTTCATTGATGAATTTACTCCAATTGTCAATACATCCATTGAAGATCCGACATGGACTCTTTACATCGATGGATCCTCCACCGCTATACGGGCTGGAGGAGGGATTGTTTTAGTTAGTCCTGATCAACAAGTGTTTTGTTACTCTGTAGCATTCACTTTCCCGGCCACCAACAACGAAGCCGAATATGAGGCCCTCTTATCAGGCCTACATTTTGCTGAATCCATGAATGTTTCCTCTCTCCGGATATTTTCTGACTCTCAGTTACTAGTCAGCCATATTAATGGCACTTACGAAGTTAAGGAACCACGATTGTTACCTTATTTTGATCTCGTCAAGAAGAAGCTGTTACGGTTGAAAATGACGTTGGAACATATACCTCGGTCATCTAATATCCAAGCAGATGCTCTTTTATGTTTGGCCTCTTCAACCGATTTGAACAATGTTGAGTTTGTGCAAATTACTCAACAGGCGACCTCCTCAACAGTTTCTACCGATGTCGCCATGATTGACGCTGCTTCACCAATCCCAGACCCGACATGGATGGATCCAATCATTAACTACCTTCAAACCGGGGCCGTACCCGAAGACCCAAAGGAAGCTCGCACTCTTCGTGTTCGTGCTGCTCATTTCACTATTGATCAAGGAACGTTATATAAGCGTGGATATTCTATTCCATTGCTTAAGTGCTTGTCAGAGATTGACGCCCAACGGGTTCTTCAAGAAGTACACGAAGGAGTCTGCGGTACCCACTAAGGAGCTCAAGCTTTATCCCACAAGATTCTCCGACAAGGCTACTACTGGCCGACTATCAGGAAGGATGCCGCAGACTGGGTGCGAAGATGTCACAAGTGTCAGATGTTTGCTCCCAACGTTAATCAACATCCTAAACTTCTTAAGTCAATATATAGCCCATGGTCGTTCGCAAAATGGGGAATTGATTTGATTGGCCCACTTCCGACAGCAAAAGGGGGTGTTCGGTTTGCAATATTAGCTGCTGATTACTTCACTAAATGGGTTGAGGCCGAACCTCTTGCAACCATCACTGAACAAAAGATGATCAATTTTGTGTGGAAATCAATCGTTTGTCGGTTTGGAGTACCGAACTCCATCATAACCGACAACGGTCGTCAGTTTGAAGGAAAACGATTTGAAAGCTTTTGTGAAGATTACGGCATCAAACACTTCTTCTAGTCACCTTATCATCCACAAGCCAATGGACAGATAGAAGCTGTAAATAAGATTGTCAAGAATGGTCTGAAAACTCGGCTCGAGACTGCAAAGGGATCGTGGCCTGATGAACTACCTTACGTCCTCTGGTCTTACCGGACGACGACAAGAAACTCAACTGGAGAAACTCTGTTTTCATTAGCATACGGAACTGAAGCTGTGATACCGGTTGAACTTACTTCTCCAATATATCGGATTATTCATTTTTCCGAAGAAACCAACTCGGCAAACCTGAAAGCCAGTCTCGATTTGGTCGATGAATTACGGGCTGACGCTGAAATCTGAAATGCCGCTTATAAACGACGTAGTGAGAAGTATATTAATTCAAAACTCAAGCCACGCCCATTTGTCGTAGGAGACCTTGTGTTGAAAAGAATCACCGGGGCCAATGTCGGTCCGTTACAACCGAAGTGGGAAGGACCCTTTAAAGTGAACCGTCTGATCTCAAACGGTACCTATCGACTTGAAACTCTAGATGGTATTTCCCTTCAGTATCCCTGGCACGCAACCTATCTGAAGAAGTATTACCAGTAAATTTGAAGGCCAAAGCTTTGTCCCTGATGTATAAAAATCTTTTGTCCTACTCATGTACAAGAATCACATTTTGCTATCAATAAAGTTTGTGTGACGAACCTCTATAATTTGTTCGATCACTTGGACCACAATAAATCGATCCTCGTTGCTAAGGCTAAACGTGTTTCATACCCTGAAGTTGGTATGACCTAGCCAAACGCGACAAAGCCGGATACTTCCAAGCCCTGAAGTTGGTTTGTGGAGGCTTATGCTCTATAATATCAAATCCCGACGTTGATTTGATGAGCTTACAATAAATATTTTCAATAAAAGCAAGTCTTTAAAGACTTGTTCTGATAAAGAGTTTGCAGATGTCGGATATACTATAAATTGTGCCGACACCAAAAATTTAAACAAACTCAAAACAAGTATCACATCGGAGTAATTACGAGCATGATCCATTAAACGTTCGTTTATCCTTCTCCAACATGTTTTGACTTGGTACAATAAATGTCAAAGCAATACATTCATGAAACATGAAATCAAAACATTAAATTTCATTAATAATAAGAAATTGTCATTACATACGATTAAAGGAAAAATAAAAAAAAACAGACAGATAACAAATGTTATTCATCGTTTTTGGTCCCCGACGACGAAGCCTCTCCGGCTG